TCTTAGGTTAGGTCAGGTTAGGTTATTGTTTCATTATTTATTGTTCGCATGAAGCAGAGAAAGGCCCACATGGGCTCCTCAACGATGGAATCTAGGCTAGGTTAGGATAGTTTAGGTTAAGTTAGGTTTTGCAGAATTCTTGCAGAATAGATTCTTCCATTTCGATTTTGGGGAATTGATTCTCGAATCGATTCTGTAAGATTCAACGAGAATTAAGATGGAAGAGATGGCGGACGGTTTAAATAAAACTCGTGGGCGGTAACACATTCGATAATCGTGAACTCTAGCATTTATTCAGGATATCTCGACACTAGGACAGATGTACCAAGAGTGCCTCTTTGGCCAAACCTTCTGGTTGTTCTAAGACCTCTCCCATCGCCAGTATGACCTTCGTTCTATGTTTTATGGGCCTTTGTCAAGTTGTGTACCCTTAAAAGGCTTGCGTCGGTGGACGCAGTCACCCCCCTCTCTACTTTTCGAATTTTCTTACAATTCTTTACGGTGAATTGAACATCCTTAATGTAAATTCGAATTTATCTGGGTTAAGAATGTTCATCAAAGGCCCTGACGTTACCGATGACCCGGTTGCGACCAATGGAAATGTCTTTCAATCGGCGCTGTCATATATCCGTGAATTGAAAATGCTTTACGACCGCCATGTAAATTTTTCAACGATTTGCAATTCAGATCGCGACTCGTCTCTCCTATTTTTTTTTTTGTTCCACTCGTTGGCTCCAGAGTGTGTGTATATATATATATATATATATATATATATATATATCGACGTGTACATATAATAAAGTAGCCCTGGATTCAACAGATTGAAGTGGCCGAGTTCAGTGGCGCGTGTGCGGTATTGGAAGTACGGTTTCTCACGCGACCATCCGAACTCGTTCAATTAATATACCGGCGAACGAGCACTGGCTTCTAATCTCCATTAACGGGCAACGATTTATGATAATCGATTCCCCAGGGCACGCGGTTGGAAATTTCCAAATTACTTGCCGTGGTAATCGGAGAAACGTGGCATTTAAATATCGATACTCGAACAATAATCGAGGTGTTTATAAGAGTTATATTAAAGATGTGTTGGCTATACAGTCAATCCCAAAAGTTTATCTACCTTAGAAAAACGCATTTCCTGTAATTGATAAAAAAAATTGATCTCTAGTAACAAATTCAACACGCTGGCATCGTTTAAGTGTACAGAATGTCCCAGAAAAAGTGTTAGAGCCGAAAAAGACTGAATCAAAGTGATGTGTGGTTTTTGAGTTATTAACGAAAAACACTGACCAATGAGAAAAGCGTTGGGCCCTCGCTCAGCCACTGGAATGGCGGCTCGAACAGTGACGCTTGGCCATTGGTCAACGGGGACCCTACGCGTCTCTCATTGGTCAGAGTTTTTCGATCCGCTTGTAACTTGTAGCTGTGGGCAGGTTTAAGGATGTATAGATTATGCAGATTGTCCCAGAAAATATGTTAGAACTGAAGAAAAGAGTTTCTGAACAATAATTTCCTTTGCCAAAATGCAAAGTGAGGCATGGTTTTTGAATTATTAACGAAAAACACTGACCAATGAGAGACGCGTAGGACCCGCGCTCAGCCACTTGAGTGGCTTGGACTGTGACTCTTGGTCATTGGTCAACGCGGGCCCTACGCGTCTCTCATTGGTCAAGCGTTTTTCGTTAACAATTCGAAAACTATGCCTCATTTTGCATTCTGGCAAAGGAAATTATTGTTCAGAAACACTTTTCTTCAGTTCCAACCCTTTTTCTGGGACACTGTGTGTAATCTATACATCCTTAAACCTGCCCACAGCCACAAGTTACAAGCGAATCGAATATTTAATTAAGATAGATTCGTTTCGTAAAACGATCCGAGTTGTTGTATTAACGTGGAGTAATTTCGTGGCCAAGCTGGCTCCAATTGCGAGCGTAATTCGTCGGTGCAACGTGTTGCCGATCTGCCCGTTCATAATTCAACCTATGAACCGTTAATGTCCAACGATACCTCGCGGTCGTACAAAGTTAATTTGAGAAAAAAACAGAAAAAAAAGTACAGGTATTTAAGATCGTTGAACAGATCGTACGCGTATTCGTTGGAAAGTAACGACAGTTTTTCATGCGACGGATGGAAACAGAGAGGAAACACGTTTATCGGAAGCCAGTCTGGGAAGCCTTTGACTCGTACTACTCGCTCGGGGTGTATCATGACGCGTCGCTCCGCACGCCTGCACAGCCCGGCCGCATTAGTTCGTCACATGCTCGCGTGATTGCGTGTTTAACCGATTCCCCCCTTTCTCTCTCTCTCTAACCGATTCTCTGCTAGCTTGTTTTCCTTTATCACGCGTTCACGTGTTGGAATATAATATTATTGCGGCCAGGATGTATGCGACGTATCATTCGACGAAAATGAAACGTTACACGTAATTCGGGGGCCGTTAAACTCCAGCTAGTAACTTTATTCGCCAGTCAACGAAATTGGCCATACTGGGAGCTTAACGTCGTCTCCAGGTGTCGTTGCACATTCTTTCACGGAACGTGCCTCCAGCGCGGTAGAAGCGAACGGCAACGACGTCAAACAACGCCCCGGCAATTAATAGCCCGAATCTGTACGTTAATTAGGAATTACAAGCGCGTCACCGTAAATGAATTGGAACGGCGTCAGGGGCGGCTAATCATTAATTAAACCCGGGTATTTACATAAAAACAGACGAGACAATCCTCCGCGAATTTCGTTGTGTGTCTCGAAAATGAACGAAAGAAGGGATGAATAAAACATGCGGGTTGAAACTGGTCTCGTTTCCTACCGGTTCCAGGGTGGCTCATGAATTTCAAACTTCGCACGAATTTGCGTTGAAAAGTGAATTGCGTCGGACTGCGCGAAAATTCGTCGCGATACGCAACGCGGCCCTCGTTGGTCAAACAGATGAATAGTTATCGCCACGGTTGTCTCGTTGTAACAACGTCCTGATAAGGCTCTCGACTAACCTTGAATTTAATGAGGATAGTAAATCTCTCTCTCTCTAACCGATTCTCTGCTAGCTTGTTTTCCTTTATCACGCGTTCACGTGTTGGAATATAATATTATTGCGGCCAGGATGTATGCGACGTATCATTCGACGAAAATGAAACGTTACACGTAATTCGGGGGCCGTTAAACTCCAGCTAGTAACTTTATTCGCCAGTCAACGAAATTGGCCATACTGGGAGCTTAACGTCGTCTCCAGGTGTCGTTGCACATTCTTTCACGGAACGTGCCTCCAGCGCGGTAGAAGCGAACGGCAACGACGTCAAACAACGCCCCGGCAATTAATAGCCCGAATCTGTACGTTAATTAGGAATTACAAGCGCGTCACCGTAAATGAATTGGAACGGCGTCAGGGGCGGCTAATCATTAATTAAACCCGGGTATTTACATAAAAACAGACGAGACAATCCTCCGCGAATTTCGTTGTGTGTCTCGAAAATGAACGAAAGAAGGGATGAATAAAACATGCGGGTTGAAACTGGTCTCGTTTCCTACCGGTTCCAGGGTGGCTCATGAATTTCAAACTTCGCACGAATTTGCGTTGAAAAGTGAATTGCGTCGGACTGCGCGAAAATTCGTCGCGATACGCAACGCGGCCCTCGTTGGTCAAACAGATGAATAGTTATCGCCACGGTTGTCTCGTTGTAACAACGTCCTGATAAGGCTCTCGACTAACCTTGAATTTAATGAGGATAGTAATGATAGTAATTCGTGGGATCATTAAGGAGATTAGGGGCGAACCGTTCATTTTGAAAGTGGCAGTACGTCCATTTATTTTGAAATCGAGATAGTTAAGAGCTTACGTTGTAATAAGCATAACCTAACCTCACCTGAGCTAACCTAACCTTTTCACTATCACCTTTATTTGTACGTCTTGTTTAAAACAAGGTATCTTTGACCCATATAATAGTAGCAAATAAACCCTAATCTAATCTAATCTAACCTAACCTAATCTAACTTAATCGTAAAACGAGAATTATCCTTATTTTTCCATGGACTTCGAGTCGTTTATGAATCGTGATCAGTGGAGATTACTCTGTTATCAGCAGTACAAAGTTTCGAATCGTGCATCCTCATTCATATTTTATATTACATTTCACATGATTAAAAAATCGCACCCAACATATCTTTATCCAGTTTATCTTGTCTTCGTTAATAAAAATTAAATGAAAATCGTTATCTGGGCTAATCGAACATTACAACTTTAATAATAAAACAAACATAATAAACTTAATAACTTATATAATAAAACAAGAACTCTCACCTCGTAAAATTTTATAACATACGCCATGTTTGAAACTCTCAAAATGGGAGTTAAGTCACTTTCAAAATATAAATTTTGGTAAATCTATTAACTAACTAATTTTCTTTTTACAACACGACATTTTTTTTCTGATTTTGACTATATTAGTTGCAATTTCTTTTGAAAAGAAAAGACGACGTAGATTTTTTATTATTATTATTGTAAAAAAAAGAGTATAAAAATAGCAAACTTGGTTTTTTGTTATTAATTGTTGTAAAAAAAATATTAAAATAGCATACTTGATTTATGTTTTAAATTATTGTAAAAATATATTAAAATAGCAAGCTTGATTTTTTGAAAACTAAGTTTGGGCCATTTTGAAATTATTATTTAATGAAATAAATATTACAAAATTAATAATAAATCGTACTCTTTGCTTTACATTCTAACAATAAACAATTTTAAACTAAGAAAATAATGTAAGTCCCAATAAACTAACCAGAATGGCCCAAATTGGCAGAACTGGAATTATTTAAGAAATAAAGATATAAAATCGTATTTTCCATTATGGTTGCCTGGTTGTCGCTAAGCGGAGGCAAGAATTTATCGACAAATGTTTAGAAGGGCGCGTGACAAGCCCATCCCGTTAAGCGAACATGTCTAACTAAGTCCCACGATAAAACGACACGCTCTCCTGTTCACCGGTGGTATTCTTTTTATCTTGCAGCATGCTGGCAGCTCACGATAAAAAACGTGAACGTACCACCAACGGTGAAGGCCGACAGCACCGATTACGTGATCCTGGACTGCGACTACGACCTCGAGGACACGCCTAGCAAGGGATTAGTAGTGAAATGGTTCTTCAACACCAACGAAGTGGCTTACCAATGGATACGCGGTAGGGACCCTCTGGCCGGCGACACCACGCGAAAGTACGTAGACCTGAAGTACAAAGCCAGCGACGATCCGTACACCGAGTACCGAGCCATGAAATTGAATAAACCCGGTATCGATCTCACCGGCGAATACACGTGCGTCATATCCACTTTCGCCGACGAGAAATCAGCGAGCGCATCCATGGTCGTCTATTGTAAGTATCCCGATTGTACCATCTTAACGAAAATTAATCTCCACTCGAGGATTGCTGTTTCCAAACCTATACTTGAGTTCCCTAGAAGTGGGCACAGTTCAGATTTTGATCGTTCTGCGCATCTCAGTGCTTTACCTTGTATACTTAATCGTGTGGAGGGGGTTCGTTGCTACCCCCACCACCTTCCAAGCTGCGCGAAACGCTCCTAGATTCTCGAGAACTCAAGCATAGGGTCCTTCGACGTTGACTGCATAGCTGCATAGTTAATGATATTCCATCGTAGCTATCGTTTTACTGTAGACAACGCGTTTATTAAATTCTTTACATAGTCACTTTTACCAGAGATTTTATTACCTCGTGCAATCACTATACCTCCACGACCCGAGCAATTTCTTCATAAATCCTGTCCTCGTTTTGGTTCCAGCGACGGAGGACAAATTCGAACTTGTATATAAGAAAAGGACCATAGATGATAAAGAGGGGGTGGAGATCACGTGCATGGCAGAGGGGCTCTACCCGCAACCTACTCTGGATATATCAATCGAGTGAGCGCTCCTGTTCTAAATTCGAGTACCAAACTTCGAGGTTTCACGAACCATTATCTCGCGTTTCTGTACATATTCGTATTAAGGATGTATTCGCTTCGTGCGTCCGCTTGGAGGGGATAGGCGAAACTACTGAAGCGCTAGGGGTCGTGGAAAAGGGCAACAAAACTGGAATATTAACACTAGAAAGACTGAAACTTAGTATATACCATATATTGCCCAAAAGCAGTGAAAATGACTGTCTTGGGCAATCTAGTGTTAACATTGGAGTGTTATATTATTATATTATTGGGTTAGCAACTAAATAATTGCGGAATTTGTCGATTTCTTATTGGGAATTGACACATTTACCATGAAATCTCGTGGTGAGCAGTAAAAGTAAACGAAGTCATGCGCAGAATGATCAAAAAGTGCAAAAACTGAACTGTGCCTGGTCCTATACCCTCGGGGCCATTTTGAGAGTATAATTCCTGGCTTCGCGTCGCCATGATGGTTAGCTATATCTATTGATCCCGCCGCAATTTAAAATCCGCAATCACTTAGTTGCTAACCCAATAGACTTGAGTGACTAAATTACAAGTGCATAGAAAACCATCCATAAAAGTTAATATTTCTACATTTTCAAATACTCCATATTAAACTCCACTGATTTTCCAGTTTTAGTTCAGTACTTTGACCCACCAGGAGTCGCCAGTAGACATGCACAAAGCGAATAGGTTATATACTTAAACAATGCTAGCATGTTGAATTTGTTATTATAAATTCCTATTCAAATTCATATGCAAACTCATGGATAAGAGGAGTCCTAACCTATTTCTATCGTTTAAGTACATAACCCATACATCCTTAAGACTCGGTCTGCCATCGATCTTAAATTCACCTCGGCATTGTTAGAAGAGAGCAATGGAGTTCGAAGCTCGCAAGAACAATACACACACGCGAGATACTCAGAGAGAGAAGAAGGGGGGTGGTAGGTCGGGGGTTACGTCGTCTCTTGAACGGCATTAACATGCAAATGTTGCTTACTCGCGACGTATTGCGCGATATTTCGGCTCGCCCGTAGCAGCGCTCGTGATAATTTTGCGAACGTCGCTCCAATTGCAGGAGCGTACCGGAGAAGCAAACGGCCAAGCCCACCGTTACGCTGCGTGACGATGGACTGTACGATATCTTATCACGAACGACCTTACTGGACGAGGATTTGCCGGAGGCGGCGATTGTCAAATGCCTGCTCGGAATACCGAAGGCGAACTACAACGTGTCCCACAAAACCGTTTACTATCCAGGTTAGTGTAAACCGTGGCTCGATACGTCTTATCTATTTTCGTCCGTCTATTCCGACGGCGATCTCTTCTACGGTTGAACGTGATCGGCGACGCTCGACCCGCCATCTCAGTAATGACGATCACGAAAATGGAATAAGCTCGTTAAAAGGACTGCCGGGAGGCGGTGAACAATTACGCGAATTAACGACGCGACGGTCTTAGTCCCTTGGGAACCGATCGACGTTCTTTAATCAGAATACCGGTTCACGTCGCAGGTGTATCTTTAGACGTGTTTGCTCGACGGACCATAAATATTTATCGTCGAATTCACTCCGGTTTTAATTAGCGATCGTAATAACTGTACACTGGAGTAGATTTCCAGTGTTCTCTGCTAATGGAAATCCGAAGGTGCGCGCGTAAAATAACCATCGGTGAGAATACAGGGTGTCCCCGCATTAAGCGATCCAATTTCACTAGGTTCTTTGAGTAGACATAAAAAAAAAATATTATATAAACATTGGTCTATAAATGGTTTATGAAAAAGTTGTAATAAAAAGTAAACCTAAAGTTAATAGTGAGTTTACAATTGGTTTATCGGAATGTAACAGAAAAAGTGCCAAAAAGGGGTGATTCTGGACAACAGTTTCCTTTGGCAAAACGCAAAGAAGCATGGTTTTTGAATTGTTAACGAAAAACAGTCAGGGCCTCCATCTTGAACGCCGGTGGTCCCGGCAACCTGATATACATAGAAGTGTGCCTCAAGCCATATGGGCATTACAGAGTTCTGCAACGTAGCGCACCGAGGCATGTTCCCCCACCAGAACACAGCGTTGGTATAAGGAGGGATGCTCAGTATCTTCCCCACATCTACACATGGACATGCGTCCGTGTCGTTTGCTGTTGGTGACATACAATAACAACGACAACAACAACCATAGTTACAACAACCATGATAACAACAACCATAGTTGCAACAACCATGACAACAATCATAATTGCCAGCAAAAGGCCCTACCTACACCCCTCCCCAAAAGCCAATTGGTTCGATTCCCTTCTGACGAGGACAGCGTAACGCACAGCGTGGCTTTCCCCCCCACGGGTTCCCTTAGTGGAAGGGATAGATAGGGCCCTTTGTTGGCAACTGTGTCCACAATTTTCTAATAAGTGGGGAGAGCATACAGTGGTGGGGACAGAACGGGAAGAACTCTTGGCACTCTGGCAGTCCGTTTAGAACTGAGAGTGGTGGCTCGGCTATTGGTCAACGCGGGCCCTACGCGTGCTCTCATTGGTCAGTGTTTTTCATTAATAATTCAAAAACCTCATTTCGCATTTTGCCAAAGAAAACTGCTGTTCATGAACACCTTCAATTTTAATAATATGACTAAAATTATCTAATAAATAATATCTAAATCATTATCTAATAAATAAATAAGTATAACTAGTAAAATTGTATAGAACTTGTTAGTTGCTTAGTCTGAATTATTTTTATTGACTTTGTTACGCAATTAGGATTCAATTTTTTGCAATCAAACAGTATTTATTTACAATTGACAATTACTATTCTGGGAGACCCTGTATAATAAAGGAGCACTCGGGTATTGGTTGAGATATCCGAATTCTTCTCTCTCTACGATAATAAAATAGTAGTAATGGCCGGTTGGCAACGTGAACTCGTCACCGAATCACGCTTCGCTTTCATTTCATCATCGTTAATCTAAAATCGTGTTTACCAATGAAGCGAGCTTTGCAAAATCCGACGGACCGCCTGCGTACATATGTAAAACGGAAGGACTAAATTACATGGGTTTAAATCGCTTGTACTTGCGAGCACGACGTCCCTACCTATCATCGTCCCATCTCCCCTTCCACCGTACTTTCTCTCTCTCTCTCTCTCTCTCTCTCCCTCCCCCTGCCAACCTGTCCGTTACTCTTCGACTTTTCTTCGAGGGAAACGTCTTCGTAATTTCGCACCGCGCCACCAGGACTTCCACACGGGACTCTTCGTTAGGCTTTCGTTCGTCCCGTGTGTTCGCCAATTTGCACCTGTCCGTTCGATGGGCACCGCGCGTGACAAGAATTACGGCCGCGTCTTGCTAGGAGACGTGGACGGGTCACAGTAGCTCGGGCGCTCGGCTCGCCTATTATTGATAAGTACTACTGATCGTCCGAGCCCGAAGTAATATAGCCGCGCGCAGTGCAGACGGCCAATAGCTGATAACTCGGTGCTTCTATCAGGGCTGCTATGAAAAATCCCTCACGGCTCGTGTCTCTTCCTCTCTTTTCATATTTCGCTACCCTCTACTATTCCCCTCTTGCGCTTTTGTCATTTTATCGTCATAGTATTTCGTCCTAGTGACTTTTGATTTTGATTCTGACAGTGACTATCTAACCCACGGTCTTAAAAACTATAAAATCGTAGACTAACCTAAATCCTAGCCCTAACAATCATAATTAACTATGTCATTCATTGCAGTTTTACTTTATACAAATGTATTTGATGTCGACATTGCCAACTTGACGAGATATACAGCCAAAAGAAGCTTAATGGCCTTAAAAATCACTAACCATACGTAACATACCCTGAAACAGGGTCAGGCAACCCTAAACAGGATCTAACCTAGCCTAACGTAAGCCCTGAACAGAGCTGCTATGAAAAATCCCTCACGCAGCTAATGGGGACTAGTACTTGGTGGGGATATGCTAGACATGGTTGGTGATTTTTGAGATCACTAGGCTTGTTTTGGCTGTACATCTCGTCAAGTTGGTAATATCGACATTAAATACATTTTTATAAAATAAAACTGTAATGGATATTGGTTAATTACATGGTTAATTATTGGAAATTGAAACATTTACTATGACCTCTCGTGGCGAGTAGTAGAACTAGACGAAGCTATGCGCAAAACAATCAAAAACTGCAAGAACTGAACTGTGCTTGGTCCAAAACCGTCGGGACCACGAGTATAATTCCTGGCTTCGCGTCGCCATGATAGTTAACTATATCTATTGATCCCGCCCTTGTATCAATTCCTAATAACTGTTAGGGTTAGCATTTACGTTAAGCCACGATTATATAATCTTTAAGATCGTAAGTTAGATTGTCACTGTCAGAATCAAAATCAGAAGTCCCTAGAACGAAATACTATAGAGATGGCGCTGCGGAGAGCAATAAAAGAGGAGAAATAATTGTGAGGTATTTTTCATAGCAGCCCTGGTCGGGAAGAGAGTTCATAAAGCGTCCAGAGTGCTTCGTTCGACCTTATAAAAAAAATATTACACTTCTTAAGTTAATTGTAGTGAAACGTAGTAACACCGGTCCTCGTTAAGACGCGCCCATTCCTCCCTTAGACGAAACGTATGAAACTTGCTTAATGGAACTACGTAATCATCTTCGGTCGGGGGAACCTAATTACCAAATTCATTTTTCCGACTGTGTAACAGTCGTAAGTTTGACTTAACGCGTTTCTCATCGGTTAACTCGCGTCGAAAAGTTAGTCCCTCCTCCTTCGCCTAGCGCGATTACCGCCCCCCCCCCACTCGTCACGGAACTAGCATAATAAAATTAAAGGACTTCCGAAATTCCCGGGACATCGGTTTAGCATAGTACCCGAGCTAGTTTAACGTACCATCAAACCGCGACCCATTAATTACCCGGGCTGTTAACTTCCGCGGAAAAATACTGATACCCCCCCCCCCCTTATTCCTACGCGTACGACGACGTCGCGGGTTTTAAGTAGAGAACTTCTTGATTAGTAGTCGACGAATACTAACGCTCTTATTAACATAAAATGCTATAGTTTAATAACGAGTGGTAGGCGTGGGAGTGCTAATAAATAAACGTAGGAGGGGAATCGTGAAATAAAATCGAGCTACGAGGCTGACCTACTTCCAATCACATTTTATTTGCTCTTTTCGCTCGCGTATTTACAGTGGATCGTATGAATATGTATAATTAGATGATTCTCCGGATGCATGCGCATATTAAACGATGTTCACAGAGATATTTCCCGTTTGTCTCTAACCAGTTTTCTTCCCCTGTCGCTAACGAATCGATGTTGTGTCAAATAATCTGTTTGCTGGTCGTCGTTCGTTCATGCCAGTCATCCATATGGATAGAGGATAGCGTATGCTTCCTTAAGCGAAAAAGTGTTCAACTTCAAGTGATTGCCAGCGCTACCCTAGTTGAGAACAGGTACTAAAAAGCGGGTGAAAGCGCAGTCGCAGATTATGCTGGTCAAAATTTAATGCCATGGACCTGAAGGATGGAGTATAAACTGCTTTTATAGATGAAGGGGGGTGAAGCTCCGTCCGTGGCGGGGGAACAGTCAAGTCGGCCATTTTCTAGGAGCGATAAGTGGCGCCGCCTGTCTGTAAAACTTATACAAATCTTGTGTGCGCTAAAGCAAGCGTGTGTCACGGCTAGGTACATATATACATGTGCGTACTTGTGGAAGTTTGCTCCTAGATGATAATGACGCTAATATGGCCGTTATCATGGAGATACGTGAACGCAGGCGCGGACGCTATATGAAGAGAGCGCCACTAGTCGCTGCTACAAAATGGCTGACGTTTCGGATACACCTTCCGTCTTCCGTCACAAAATACTGCAAGCAATGCTCCGTCCTTCAGGTCCATGGGTTGGGATTGAAATGGGCCATGCATTCATGGTTGCCATTGCGCTTTTACGCGTTGTTTAGTTCTTGTCCTCCATTGTGGTAGCCCTGGCAATCACTTGAATTTACACAACGTCCTTAGCTGTATCTTCTAACAGAGGAAACAATTAATATTTCGACGAAAGAAATTCAAAATGTCGAATTTACGTGTAAAAATAAGGTACGCGGTGCCCGACGGCAATGCTGCCCCCTGACGGGCCTCAAAGTTGCCTTCGGGCCGCTACCGCGCCCCTTGATCCATATAGATGACTGGTTCATGTTCTGTGCAACCGCACTTATTGTTAGTCAATGCGCTCGCTAATATCGTTTCCGGCTTCTGTAGAAAATGACGTAGTAGCGCCGCGACATTCTCAGATCCCCAGTTCTCCACGATTGTCCGTCACGTTTCTAACGCCGTAACTACCAACGGCTTCTAAAAATACGTATGCTTACTACATACCTGATGGACACGCGATACGTGGTGTTTATTGTGCAGGAACGCCTACTACTAGTTCAACCGCTACAACGAAGCTGCTGCACAAAATGGAGATCCAAGCGCTAGACGACTCGAGGCCTAGCAATGGTGGTGGTAAGGCTTGTAAACTTCTCCTCGTCTATTCCGCGACATCGCCACCATAAGCCACCGTCGTTTACGAGATTTGGAAACTTTGACGAGATCGATAATACGTATTGTCTCCGACACGGAATACCGTGGGTACTCAAGACTCAACACGGAAATTCGATTTCATCGCTAAACGCTTTCCATTTTGCTGTTGTTCATACTTAACGTGCATCGATCTCGTGAAAGTTACGAGTCCCGGGATTCCAAGTTCCTATTCACGTGAATGCGTAACGCCTGTCCCAGTGCCAAATAGAATTATGCTACGCTGATTATAACGCTTTGGCTAAAAATAATAACTAGTATTTGCACGTGGTATACGCAGACAACTTATAAATGTACTAAATGTGCAAATGAATATATATACGACACAGGGAATGCTAGAACTAAGACTACGACTGTACATGGAAGGTCCCTGAGGTAATAAAAAGAAAATTTTCCTTTGCAGAAATGTTGTCCGTGGCGTGGTTGTCGAGTTATTAACGAAAAACCAGTGACCAATCAGAGCGCTCGTATAGCGGACGGCCAGGGGAGCAACAATCGCTTGAGGTGCCTCGCCCATATGCAACACTCGTGTCGAGAATGTATACCTGAGTTCCCGACAATCTAGAAGCGGTCACAGTTCAGTTTTTTATCGTTCTGCGCATCTCAATGCTTTACCGTGTATACTGAACCGTGTGGGGGGGGGGGTTCGCTGCGATCCTCACCCAGGGATGGGATAATTTTTCACGCACGGCTCGCTTCCCCTCTTTTTCGCCCGTATTTCGATCCCCACTACTATTCTCCTCACGCGCCTTCGCGAAGCGAACCCATCAAGTACCAGTCCCCACCATGGTCGCGTCGTCCCCACTTTCCGACCGAAGGAAAAATTATCCCATCCCTACCCTCACCACCTTCCAAGCTACGCGAAACGCTCCTCGGGTATAGGATTAAAACAAAAGTTACATGCAAGAACAACTAAGAAAAGAAAGCAATTATTAGCGAGCGTGGCATACGGGCGGGGCAACACAAACGGTTGTTGCTCCCCTGGCCGTCCGCTATACGAGCGCTCTGATTGGTCACTGGTTTTTCGTTAATAACTCGACAACCACGCCACGGACAACATTTCTGCAAAGGAAAATATTGTTTAAAATCACCTCAGGAACTCCCATCTTCGGGCGTAGTATTAGTTCTGTATATGTATATGTATATAACTAGGTGCTTCGAGGAGGACGTTTCTGAATGATTATTTTATTAAGATTTAATAGAACCGCGCGATATCATCGGGTCGAATTAGGAATTTCGTGAAGATCGATTGGTGGGAACAGGAGGGAGAGATGGTAGATTAGGTACACGGTCGATTAATCTTGGCGCTGATAATCGAGCATCTGCCGAAGGATAAGGTTAATAAACTAGCGGTAGCGTAAGTTCCGGTTGAAGTGGATGAAGGGAGACGGGTATTTCCTCTCTGAGCTCATCAACCGGCATTACTACGCTGCGCTAATAAATAGCCGAAGTTGAGGTTGCGTCAATACCTTCTCCTCTTACACACGGGCGCACGAATTTCCTTGCTGATACGCTATCAAACACTTTGCCGACGATCCGAATCGGCGGGAATGCCTGAAAGTTTCTAAGCCCTGCCAGACGGGAACCGAACGGCGCGGTGTACAAGGCTCTCCGGCTGTGTGTGTACGCGCGCGCGCGCGCACGTGTGTGTGTAACTTTCTTTTCCTCCGTATGAAATTTGTAATACGCGCGACCGGTCTGGCGAAAATAAAGGGGACGAGGGAGCGACGGATATAAAACTTTTGCCATTCGGAATTCAAAGGGTCGTTCGATCAAACTCGTTTCGCAAGGTGTCAGCGTTATTCGAGATCACAGGAAAAACGCGTCGGATAATATTAAACCAAATTATTTCGTCCTCGCGATAAAAGGAAAGGACATATTATAGCGGCGCGATAAGACCGAATATAAATGTTACCCACAAAATTAGCCAAAAATAACGGCACTGGACTTTTCGTTCTTAAGTAAAAAAAAACATTTTGAGGTACCTCTTTAAGAAGAGGAAAAGTTAAATCTGGTGTGTTCTGGTCATGATATAATCAAAATATACTGATATGAATATAAAACGTTATAAAATATATAAAAAATCGAAGTTATGGTGGGGAACTTTCGTTAATATGGATTAGTAATGATGACTCACCGTCAAGACAACCTAACCTCCATAGAAAAATATAGAAAAAGATAACGATTTAGCAAAAATGCGTATATACATATGCATCGTAGTTCTAATAGGCGGAGGACAACTTTAGTCCTTATGACTATGACTAATCGTAAGTCCTAACCTAACCTAATTTCGAAAATGAGTAACGCGCTTTGGGTTTTTGGAAACTTTATTATCAATTCAGTAATTAGACTTAAAAGAACTATGAATATTATTTATTCAGGCTTTTATTTAGGCCTAACATGAATCACAGACCATCGATTGCTCATACAATATTAAAATAATTTTGTTCATAAGCAATTTTATACACAAAAGAGATTATTCTGATTGAAATTAAAACCAGAGCACGCCAGATTTAACTTTCGTTCTTCCAAAAAGGTACCTGACGTCTTAAAAATCTTGTTCAAGATATTTGGTCAAACGAACCGTACAAAAATTGTTGCTTCATCGATAAAACAGAGCAGAAGGGTCCAGAATTTTACCTACGAATGTTCAAAAAGGTCACGTGATTAGCCCCTTAATGGGCAAATAAGAAAGTAATTAGCCACTACGGTAGAAGGGACGATACGAAACGGGTCTGCTTGCGGGGGACGTTAATTTAAGTATGTGCAGTATACATTAGTGGTTCATGTGTTTGCGTAACGTCTGCCGCTGCGGACAAAGCCTCCCGCCGCGTTATGCCCTCGTATCTCATAAACTTTTTACCGCGATCGCAATTAAAGGATTTAACGACGGTAGTCGTAAAGAAAAGCGATAGCCATCGGCGTCCCATCCGTAGAGGATGTATGCATTTCCCTTCGGTTATTCCCAGTTTCATCGGTACCTTGTTTATCGACCTTTATTCGCTACACCGAGGAGAAATTACTAAAGAGTGGCAGTTTTATGCAGCGCTGCCAGAATGTAGTATTTCTCCTCTTCCCGTGCTGTCCCCCACTACTTTTTTCCCCCCACTTACGTTACCTATGGGGACATGTTTAATAATGCTATATGTAAGTGGGGAGAGCACATTGGGCCAGGGTGCGCATATTTTTTCCCGCACGGCTCGCTTCCCCTCTTTTTCGCCCGTATTTCGAGCAGGGCTCTCGTAATTCATCCCACGGCCGGAAAGTGGGGACGACGCGACCATGGTGGGGACCAATAGTTGGTGGGGGTATGCAGTGATTTTCACGGTAGCGCTGCGGAGAGCTTCGCGAACGCGCATGAGCACGCATGAGGGGAATAGTAGTGGGGATCGAAATACGGGCGAAAAACAGGGGAAGCGAGCCGTGTGGGATAAATCGCGAGAGCCCTGGTTCTCATAATTTTTTCCTCGGCCGGAAAGTGAGGGCGACGCGACCATGGTGGGGACTGGTACTTAATGGAGGTACGCTCAGGGATGAGATAATTTTTCCCTCGGCCGGAAAGTGGGGACGACGGGATTATGGTGGGGACTGGTACTTGACGGGGGTATGCTAGGCATAGTCAGCGAAGGCGCATGAGGGGAATAGTAGTGGGGATCGAAATACGGGCGAAAAACAGGGGAAGCGAGCCTCGTGGGATAAATTACGAGAGCCCTGATTTCGAGCCCCACTACTATTCCCCTCATGCGCCTTCGCTAACCATTCCTAGCATATCCCCATCAAGTACCAGTCCCCACCATGGTCGCGTCGTCCCCACTCTCCGGCCGACCGAAAAAATATGCGATGCCTGCATTGGGCACACATATGCAGTAGTGGGGTGAGCACGGGAAGAGGAGAAGTCCTGCATTCTGGCAGCGCTGACTTCAAGTCGTACCTAGGAAACGCGCCGGCTTTAAATCGATGACGCACGCGCAAGAAGCATGCAACAATTTTCAGCCGATATAAAAACTGTCCAAACACTTTTAGTTGACCGATGAGGCACATCGTTACGATCGCACACACCTTATATCCCACGACTGTCGCCATATTTAGTGTTGATTTAAACGTCACGAAACGTGGTTTGATTGCAGGGAATTTCGCTGGTCGATTGTCAATTAACATCCTGCTAGTCACGATACATGCGATATTCGTCAACTTGCTCATTTAACTGTCCGATCATTAGGTAAGTAATTCGAATAATTCGACTCAACAAAAAAGTCCGTTTTGTTTCCTGTTATTTCAACGACTCCATTATTGAGTCGAGGTATTGTCTCTGGAGGATTCGCGCTACCAAGACTATCGTTCATCCGCGTTTTGTTAATCGACGAACGGTAAACATTATCCGCGATGGTGTTTGCTTCTACGGCAAACAATTTCGATGATAATGAAGCGTCGGAGATTAAACTTGCGCCATTGTATAAACGTGTACAGAGAACTCTCGATTTGATTCCAGATCGTCAAACAGGAATCGCAAACTGGGGAGTAAGCTTTAAAACTCGACTATTCCCCGATCTTGTCGTCTTGCGAGCACCACTGCCTACGAGATACGGAAAACGCGTGTCCGTGTTTTAAACGTTGTATCAAAGAAACAAAGAAAAAAAGAAAAAAAAGAAACGCAAAAAAGAAAAAAGATGAGAACTTTACGAACGCGTTCGTAATGGCGTACGCGGGGAATACGTGAACGGAGAAACATTGTACGTGCTGTTTAGAGTGTTGTTTATACATATTATATATAATGAGATTCTCTAGTTGGATGTAACTATCGTTGCACGAACGTTCGAAACCAAAGATTCGGGCGAGGAAGCCTGTTAATCAAAATATAAATGAGAGGAGACCCCCCACCCCAACCCTTTTCCCGCGGACCGTTGTAAATATACGTTCAAGATTTCATCTTGTATATTGCAGTTCGAGTCATATTATAGATCGTGTTTGTTGCTCTCTCTCTCTCTCTTCGTGTTACGTCGGATTCGTAATAAGTATATCGTTTAAATGGGATAAAGTGTATGGAATTTTATATGCGATGTACAGCGGACAGGATATACGCAGGGCGTTAGGAACAGGACGTTTATCTCCGTCAGGAAAATACTTCTTGGGATCATTAAGTAATTAATTGATAATAATAATAATAATAATAATAATAATAATAATAATTATTGAAGGCGTAAAACGTTTTTGCTTATGGTTGTATGAACACTTACATAAAAACAATCAGAATGCATTGAGATTTTAAAAGTTACTAGATATTATATTAATAAAACACTATACAAAATTTTAGACTGACCAATGAGAGCGCGTGTAGGGCCCGCGATTAGTCACGAGAATGGGGACTCGGTTTGTGACACTCGGGCCCGCGCTCGGTCACAGGAATGGGGGCTCCACTCGTGACGCTCGGCCATTGGTCAACGCGGCCCTACGCGTGCTCTCATTGGTTAACTGTTTTTCGTTAATAATTTAAAAACTGTGCCTCGTTGTGCATTTTGCCAAAGGAAATAGTAGTTCAGAATCATCCATTTTCGACAGAACACTTTATTTAAGATCTTTGGGTCGTCGAGGATCGTATTTGAAAGAGGGTAACTAAATCTGGAGTGCTCTGACATCAATTTCAATTAGAACAATCTGTTTTGGACATATTGGGTTTTTGCAAATTACATTAGCCTTTTCAAAAAGGAGTTTGACGACCCATAAATGTCATACAGGCTGTCCAGAATAAGCGATCAAACTTTCCCAGTTTATGTTCTATCTTTGCCTGGTTAAATAGAACAGTGACGTTAAAACTGTCTTGAGAAATGTTATAAAAGTCGCATGACTACCCAATCCGCTTAAATACCGAAAATAGTTCTGCTTGAACTAGGAGATGAACGTCCTGCCTATTCCCCTGTATCATAAAATACACGATACATGCATATATCGATTATACGTAACCTGAATGTGTAATTATTTTAATATGTGTACATAGTTCCGACAATATACATAGGGGATGAAACGAGTGTTTAAGAATGGAGGATAGAGCGCGATGACATTCTTGGATATGAGGAGTGTACAGTTGTTTCTACGAAACGCATCGTTGAGAAACGCGAGGGTCCGAATTTATCATGTACATTATTTCTTACTGAGAACGCGACGTATAACGACGAGCCGTCGTCCTGTTACGAAAAGTTTTGCACGATTTCGACGTACGGATGAGCCGAACGAGTTCCGTTTGTCCATCAATTATTTATTTAATTGAAAAGTTTGCTCGGCTGTTTTGATTAGATTAATAAATTAAGACGCAGCGTGAGCCAAAAATTGAATCGATCAATTGTTTAATTGATGTTAATTTTAACTGTGAATTTCGATACCAAAGATCGGATCGTGAATGATACCTGACCGAGAATAAAAACCTAATCGCGTCGCACCAAAGTTCGTGTCTAATTAAATTACGATCTAACGCCTAATTTAGGATACTTTAACGCTATTGCACATAAGAAATGATTAGCGAACGTTTATTTTTTCTTATACGAATCGTTAATATAAAAGATATTCCAGAAAATGTGTTAGGGAAGAAGAGAGGTGATTCTATAAGTGTTTCTGAAAAACAATTTCCTTTACCGAAATGCGAAGTGAAGCATGGTTTTTGAATTATTAACGAAAAACACTGACCAATCAGAGCACGCGTAGGGCCCGCGCTGAGTCCCCACTCCGTGGCTGAACGCGGGCCCGCGCTGGGCCCCCACTCCGTGGCTGAACGCGGGCCTGCGCTGGGCTACTGCCGAGCGTCGCCGAGCCGAATACTCCCGAGCGTCACGAGCCGAACCCCCACTCCCGCAGGCCCGCGCTGAATCCCCACTTCGTGGCTGAACGCGGGCCCGCGCTGGGCTACTGCCGAGCGTCGCCGAGCCGAATACTCCCGAGCGTCACGAGCCGAACCCCCACTCCCGCAGGCCCGCGCTGAATCCCCACTTCGTGGCTGAACGCGGGCCCGCGCTGGGCTACTGCCGAGCGTCGCCGAGCCGAATACTCCCGAGCGTCACGAGCCGAACCCCCACTCCCGCAGGCCCGCGCTGAGCCACAGGAGTGGGGGCTCGTGACGCTCGGCAATGGCTCAACGCGGGCCTTAGACGAGCTCTGATTGGTCAAGTGTTTTTCGTTAATAATTCAAAAACCATAGCTTACTTCGCATTTTACCAAAGGAAGTTATTGTTCAGAAACACTTCCAGAATCATCCTTTTTCGGCTGTAACACTTTTTCTGGGACACCTTGTAATATGAAATATTGTAGTCGTCGATATTTGTCTCCGAGCGAGATGAGAACAGGAAATAAGAAGAAGAAGAATAAGACGATGATGAAGAAGAAGCTATTATAATAAACGTTATAGTTGTAAATAAAGTGGCCTCCCTAGTCCCGATTATGTTAATTGCTTGAAAAGCCTATCGAACAAGAATGAAACATTTTTTACTATGTTGATAGAAGCGATGGAAAAAAAAAAAAGAAATTGCGCACCGATCGTAAAAGAATGAGAAAATCGAGAAAATGTATGTGTAATGCGTGCCTCTAATTATAATTACCAGATTAGCTGGCAATGGTCCCCGGTAAGTTTTCAATAGGTTTCAAACGACTTTAATCGTTTCGCAGAAATATTGTATCTCTGTATATTTTCATAAAGTGTTGACGTAAAACCATTGCCGTTCGACTAACCGAATTTGTATCAGATGCATAAAATAGGAAACTGTATTTTCTCTTATCGTCAGAAATTTATGTGTGCCCCGTTGTTGAACGACGCCCACGCGTTCTCGTGATAATGACAATGCATCGCATGTTCCAAATACGGGCGGGCGAAGCTCGATAGCGTTTTAATTAATTAAGTATTCGTATCTCTCGATCGGATTTCTTAAATATTCTTTGCATTCTCGTTCGGTTAATAAATTTTCATTCTCGAGAGCTTGTATCGTCGTTGAGTTCGACAGTCAAGGATCATCAAAGAATAAATTACATGATATTTACTAACACGCTTTGTCTCTTGCGTTTTTCGTTTCATTGTAAAACGTAAAATAAATGGATGATTCATTTAAATAAATATTCTTCCCACTTCGTTTGTGGCGACTCTTCTGTGCGGAATAGAAGGAATTACCGATCGCTAGTTACCGACTGATGGTAACTTTACATACGTCGCTGTCTTCATTGGGTCACGTAAGGCATGGTTCCTGACGACTTCGCTTCCAAATCCAGAGACCTCCTGAATTTTCTACTCTCCATGCTCTGGGCTATGCTTCAGCACAATTATGGATCATTTAAATCATCGATTCTTCTACTTCTTCTAGAACGATCTTCCCTACTGTCAATCTACTTGGACCTACATACTATAACGCTTTTATGTTTTGTCTTGTTTGTACTTGTTTAAAAATGAAATAAAGATCTTGTTAAAAAATGTATTTCATTATCTATTCACTGCTCCCAGAGTGACCACAACCCGTTCCTTAACGAGGCTACAACTCGAAAAAATAGCCCTAGTCAATATTAAATTAACTGTAGAAATACGTTACATTCTTGGAAATGGCGTCACAGCAAATGTTAATGCCCTCATATTCTTCTGATACAAAGTGATATTTTTGATTGAGAATATTTCAAAAAATGTATTAGGAGAACATGAGGTGGTAGGCGGTATGTCGACGACATAATGTCGTGACGTCAGAAACCAAATTCAGACGAAATCTTATACTGTCGTGTTCTCCTAATACAATGTCGAATTTTTGGCAATAATGAGGAGATTTTGAGTCTAGCCTCAGACAGGAGAGACGAGGGAGAGACCAGCCAGAAACTAATTAATGATAATTTAAATATTAACTAAGAAATTTTAGGCCATTTCAATTTTTTAAAGAGATTCACTATGATATCTCAATAGGAGAGCCTAGCCCGGGGCCAGGAGAGACCAGGGAGAGAATGGAGAGACCACGAAGAGACGAAGATATTAGCCAGAGACTGATTAATGATATTATCTATTATTTATTATTTTAATTATTTTTTTGTATATTCTAATATATAATATATAATAATTTATATATTAAATATTAACTAACAGATTTTTTACTAACTAATAATTTTTTTAAAGCGCTTCACTATGATATCTCGATGGGAGAGATTATCCAGAGACGAAAGAGACGAGGGAGGAATCGTAAAATTCCATTATAATAAAATAATAAATAATAATAAAATAATAAATAATAATAAAATAATGTTACATTACGTTTTCAATCATCACTCAGATATTATAATTTAAAAACACCTGAATTAGCTGCTGTTCTGATAATGACACAGTCATTCCGATATTCGATACGGACGAGACAGGTGGCAGCACCTACCGGGAACGCGGTTATTCCTGCATTCTTTAATTACTCTTTAATGACTGGCGTTGAAATAGGAGATGTAGTTTCAATTGTCAGCTACGAATAAGGTCCCAAGCAACTTTTTTCTAACTCCATTAATTATCAAGTAATTAATAAACAATTGCAAAAATGTTTATTGCAAAACGAATCCTTGGTTCTACCGAAACATATTTGAAAGTGTGGGTCTCAACTACAAGGAAGGTCCTATACGATTTTTTTTTATTTCCATTAGTTTAGGAACTCAAATTAACAATTTGTTTGATGTATGAAAACTCATAAACTGCTTGCAGTCATACGTTATGCTGAAGCTAACAATACGAATGTGAATTTAAAATAAATCGAGTGTCCAGAGTTAAAGAAAATTTAACAGCACTCATAAACTAATTCTATCCATGCAGCATAAATATTTTTTAACAAAAGTAGAAACCAGTTTTATTAAACATAAGAATATAATTTTTTATATTAATTGACATAATTAATTGAATTAAATAATAATTGACAAGACTATCGAAGTATTAATTGACATAATTAATTAAATTAAATAATAATTGACAAGACTATCGAAGTATTAATTGACATAATTAATTAAATTAAATAATAATTGACAAGACTATCAAAGTATTAATTGGCATAAATAATTGATTAAATAATAATTGACAAGACTATCGAAGTATTAATTGACATAATTAATTAAATTAAATAATAATTGACGAGACTATCGAAGTATTAAAATCCACACAAAACCCTAATTAGAAACCCTAACCGGGAAAACTGATCTCTTCTATGGACCAGCAGCAGCAGCAGCAGCTTCGCGTCGTTGGTTGATCACGGTTCCCCATTTCCTCGACGGATGAAGTGAAAGCCGTGATCGAGGCTGGAGTAGAATGTAAAGAAGTCGTTGCGAATCGGGAGAGAGAAACCAACACAGCTCGCAACGACGTCCAGTTACTTACTCCAAGGCAAGTCGAAAGGAATGCCTGAGCGGCGTGCATCGCGACTCCGGGTTCTCCTATAGAGTGTGACTTAATCCTTCATCACCGTCGTCGGCGACGATCTCCAAGTCTTCGTAACGTAAGTACCGTTCTCATTCTATCAGTGAAACTGTTCTATCAAACGATCATCAATTCCTGGCATTGGATTAAAAATTGGGTCCTATCGGTTTTGGGCCTTATCGGTTTTGGGCCTTATCGGTTTTGGGCCCTATCGGTTTTGGGTCCTATTGATAATTATCGTAAAGACAAATTTCGTCATGGATGCTGTTTTCATCCAATTTCAGTTCTTTAATTCATTTCTAATTAGTGTTTTGAATGAATGATTTCATTCATTTTTATTTTATTCTTATTCAACATAAATTCGACGTACGACTGAACGAAACTTGAAAAAATGTCGTGAAGGAAAAAATATGAGATTAGAAATAGATTAACAATTTGGTTTCTTCTCGTTTTTATTTATTAACATTGTACATAATTAATATAATAAATACTGTTTTTATATAAAATCAGATTCAATCCACGAGTGGTTTGATTAAATATTGAGGTGGAATAAAGAGGACCCGAATTATAGTTATCAAATTCGTAACCACAGTGGAACTTGTTTTATCTCGACGTCTATCTACACGTTCAACGAAATCCAAGTGAAAGTACATCAATTTACACGAACAGGAGTGTTAGCATTTGGTTACGTTTCTTTATAATTGGGCCAACGTTTGCATCGCGTTATACATAGGTAGACGTCTGATTCACCGGAATTGACAATTGACAAGGGGGGGAGAGAGGTTGAAAACGAATTCGGTATTATTACCACATCGGGTCTGTATCTGGTTTTCGATTTCAACAAGCTTAAGTCCCGTGGAACGTGTGAGATTTTTATTTACCGTTTACGGAATCGTGTGTGATTTTAATTACTTCCTGCTCGAAACGAACGGTTTTTAAATGGCATCGACCTGAATTCTTAACCACTGGTTTCTACTGAGATATGGGATGAATCTCGCGGAAGCTGATTTCACTTTGCAGCGAATTTAGCTTTTTAATGATTCTAATATTGATCGCTAAGAGTGAAAGAAATTATTCAATAGAAAATTCAGTGTATTTATGATTTATGATGATTATGGCTTTTCATTAGATCTATCAAAGAATGTTCATAACTGAGGAAACATAATCTTGTGGAATGTGATTTGACTTTGAAGCAAATTAATAATTTTTGCAATTTTATTATCGAAAATTAATAGTGAAAGAAATAATTTAATAGTGAATTCAGAGCATGATTAGTCTGTAATCAGATGACTATGGCTTTTCATTCGATATATCAAAGAATGTCTATAACTGAGGAAAAGATGAAACAACAGATAATCTTGTGGACTCTGATTTCACTTTGAAGCAAATTAATAATTTTTACAATTTTAATATAGATGATTAGGAATGAAAGAAATAATCTAATAGATAATTCAGAGCATGATTAGTCTCTAACCGTCTATTAAATAATGTCTACAATTGAGGATAAGATAAAACGACAGATAATCTTATGGAACATGACTCCATTTTGAAGCAAATTAATAATTTCTGACAATTCTAATATCGACTATTAGGAATAACAAAATAGTAATCTAATATAGAATTCAGGACATGATTGGTCTCTAACCGTCTATCAAAGAATGTCTACAACTGAGGATAAGATGAAACAACAGATAATCTTGTGGAACCTGACTCCATTTTGAAGCCAATTAATAATTTTTGCTATTCTAATATCGACGATTAGGAATTAAAAAAATAATCTAATAGAGTTCAGGACATCATTGGTCTCTAACCAGATGATTATAGCTTTTCGTTGGGTCTATCAAAGAATGTCTACAACTGAGGAATAGATGAACCAACACATAATCTTGTGGTTTGTAATTTGACTTTGAAGCAAATTAATAATGTTTACAATTTTAATATAGATGATTAGGAGTGAAAGAAATAATCTAATAGAGTTCAGGACATCATTGGTCTCTAACCGTCTATCAATGAATGTCTACAACTGAGGATAAGACGACACAACACATAATCTTGTGAAACCTGATTCCACTTTCAATTAATAATGTTTGCAATTTTAATAGAGATAATTATAGTGAACGAGATGATCCCATAGATATTACAGACTATTATTAGTTTGTAACTAGATGACTTTTTGTTTTGACCTTTGACAATTTTAATATGGACGATTAGAAATGAAAGAAATCCACTAGAGAATGCAGGGCATCAGGATTGCAACCATAACTACATATTTTCATTCGACCTATCAAATAATCGTAATTTTCTACACTTGAAGATGGCAGACGCCCTGAGAAATTTTGGTATCTTATTGATCTGATCGATCGCTTCCGCTTTCCGTCGGTTCCAAGCCGGAAAGAGAAAGTAAATGTAACAAGTCCTTTCACTCTTCCACTTGTTAAATATTTCATTTTAATTCGGTAGTTTTCGACTCTCCGTTAATTCCCCCATAAAGTCCGGAGGCTAATTAGGAGTCTGACGAAAATTAGATACCGTCCGGCAGCTTCTCGACCTGAGGGGGCGGAAAATTGCATTACATAAATTGTATCCTCGCGTGGGACGACGTATACACGCGTAAACGTAGTTACCTGTACGTATAACGTTTGCGAAAGGGAGCAGTGAACGTTCCGCAGTCGAGTATCTACGCGTGCACGCAGTTATACGCC